AATATAATAGATTTAATAATAAAATTTTAAAAAATTTCACTATAGTGAAATTTTCAAATTTTTTTACTAATTGTCTTAGAATTACATTATATTGAATTTTACTGTGTACTGTATTTTTTAGTAATTAATATAAATAATATTTTCACAATAACTATTATACTTATAACAATATATTCTAATATTTTTTATTTTTATAAAATTTTTAATAAAGTTAATATATTATAACAAAAATTAAATATCAATAAAGCTTTTAACTCAATATTCATTCTTGCAATCAAAAAATCATTTGAAAGAATCAACTGCCCAAGTCCTACTATCAACCTGTTTATAAATTTACTTAGCAATAAAAAAGTGTCTATTAATATCTCTTCTGAAGCAACTAACCCCTTCATAGTTAACAATAGTGTTGAACAAGATAAAACACTATCTCCTATACTATAGGTAATATTCTATAATTCTCTAATTACACAGTTATCCAGACAGCAACCTATTCAAAACTATACTACCTCTAACATACTAGCCTATATAAATGACCTTGCACTTATTGCAAATTCCAAATCAAAAATGAAAAATTTCCTAAATATCGCCAATCAATTTTTTTCAATTAATAATATTACTTGCAACAAAGACAAAACTCAAATCATAAGCAATGTCAAGACCAAACAGGAAATTTTCAAGACTATAAAATTTAACAATTATCAAATACAAGTCTTAAAATTACATCAAAGCATTAAATATCTAGAAATGTTTATTTCACTTAAAAATTTTCTCAAAATTAATAGAAAAGTCTTTAGTCAATCTATGGATACAATTCTATAAGAACTAAATAAACAAAATTGGAAAGATCAAATCAAATAGCAAATATATAAATGGATAATTATGGAAAAGTTTGAATATTTTCTTACAATGATCTTTTTCAACAAATCTATACTTAACTACCTATAAGTAAAAATTAATAAACTCATTAAATTAGTATATAAAATAATTTTCAAATGCTCAAATACAATTCTTATCAGTTATAACAGTCTCAATATTGCACTTCTTGAAAAAAGACAAAAATTCTCTTTAATAGGTAATCTAATAATCAAACTTTCTACTTCAATTATAAGAAAATATATAATACAGAAGATATGATTAATATAAAGGAAAGAAGCAATTTGGTCTTGCCCAATATGCAACCCAAAAGTATTTAATCAAGATAATTGGATACTCTATATTGTTAGAATTGTTAAGAATCTAAAAATTCAAATCTATCCAACTGAATATCCAAACTATCATCCAAATACAAAAAACTTAATAGGCTTTCTACTAGTTAAACTCTAGCCAAACTCCAACCAAACATCAAAACTATTACAATCAATACTGCTAATATTCTCAACATCCAGTTTACAAATCAACTAATAAATTTCAACAGCACAATCAAACTCTCTTGGTTTCAACTAATAGCTCATACAGGAATTATTCAATGTGGATTAGAACTATGTTGATTCAAAAACTTCACTAATTACAATGGTCTATTGGAATTCTATAAACCAATACCTAATCACAAAGTATCCTTCTGACCCATACACAATATCAACACTATTGTTAAAATATATAAGAGATGTTATTATATCCAGGAAAATCTTTATATTAAGAAAAGATACTTTAATATATATAGTAATAATATTTTCACAAAATGTGATGGTTGTCTAGCTGATACTTTAAGTGTTGATTTATATATATTAAACTTTACAAGTTCAAAAGCATCCTTCTTATGGATTATTTTCAATCCCTCAAATTTTAACAAGTATTATTTAAATAATATAATTAAAGAAATCTCAAAAACTTCTTGAAAAAATAAGCATATCCTCCAATCAGTAGATATTTTCTCCAACTCTTTTCCCATTTCAATACTTCAGAAAATTGGTTTTCCTCAGTCATATCATATTTAATACCATCAAGGACACATATTTATAAATAACTTTAAAATCAAATTAAACAATTCTGACTTTTTACCTAGTGATCTATTACAAGTTCTCTTTGATTTTCTTCACTGGTGCCCTTCTAACTGTGAAAATGAAATAAGAAACAATAAAAGAATACTTCAAGAGACTTTCAACTATTCTAGAAAAATGACAAAAATTAATTTTTCCTTAATTATTCAAAAAATCAATAAGATGATATTTAAAAAAATAATTCTTCTTACCTATTCTAATCCCAAATCAAATCCAAGAGCTAACAATATCATAAACTGAAACAATCTAATATTGTATTTTTTAGAAAATCTCCTAATTAACAATTCTCAGCTAGTAATAGTATTAGATAATACAAAAAGATTTTAGCATCACCAAAACATACTATATATAATAATAGAAAGCTTATCAATATTAAAAACATTTGACTATATCTACAATTCTTGAGGCATCAAAATTATTAACAAATCAAATAAAAGTTTGAAAAATGTATGAAACAACAAATATAGTGACCTAATCACTTTTCATATCAAGTTATTGTCAGGAACTTTTTCTACATGAAAAAATTTTTATCAACTATATCCAAACTAATATCCAGATCTCTACTGTCCTTGATGCAAACTTCACATTGAAAACATATAACATGTATTCAAATATTCAAAAGCTTTAGAAGAAACTAATCAAATTATCAAGCAAACCAATCTTATTTTTTACTCCAATGGTGACTCAAAACCAATAGCCCATATATGACAGGTTATAAAGTTAGCATATGATATTATTGATAGCATTTTCTTTCTATCAGACTTTAACAATTAGGTACAAGTATCAACTGAAGCCCTAATACAATTATATAATACCATATGAAAACCACAATACATCACAACCAATACCTTTCCACAAAATAGTATAAAAGAGAAAGGCAAATCTTCTAACAATATAATTAAAGACAGGCAAACAACTTTCAAATCAAGTTTACAAAAATCTTCATCAATACAAAAATTAACAATAACAATTAACTTACCTACTTTAGTTGCAGACACATATATTCAAAACAATTTTAACTTTTTTGAATCTATTACTAAATTAATTCAAAGCTATACCAATCTTATTTTTTTCAACATTGAATAGATAAACATAGCTGCTCGATACATTTTGATAAAATTTATTGTTTTAAAATTTATTTTCAATATTAATCAATTGGTTTCTGTAATCAAGCTAACATTAAACTCACTGTATTTACAAATAAGAGATATTGTTTCTTTTATAATATATACTTTTAATATACAAATCAAATAAAGTAATAATATTTACTTACTAAAAAAAAAAAATCAAATATCAATAAATAACTTAAATAACTATTTTAATTATCAGTTATATTATTATATTAATAATCAAAATTAAAGTATTAACAAACAAAATAACAATAATATAGTGATTGATACTTTCAGATCTATATTAAAAATATTAAGTTCAACTTCAAATAAAGGCAATTAAACAGACTTAAAATAATATTTATAATTAAGTTAGACATACAGTATTACAAAATATATATATTATAATTTAAAAATAAATTATTCTATTTTCAAATAAAAAAAAATTTCAAATATAAAATTTGAAACATATTTAATTTATTGATAAAGCTATTTTTCAATATACTGTATATTATATTTCATAAATAAAAAAATTGAAATTATCTAAACTACTTAAAATACAGTATTTGATTTAATTTCATGACAAAAATTAAATTTAATCCATATATTAACAAATCCATATGTTGATTTGTATTATATTTAATATTAATAATTAAAACAATGTGTGATTAAGAAAATTATAAATTAGTTTAATTAACTTGATTCAAGTGTTTAATAAATATCAAATCACAAATCAAATAACAATTAATTATATAACTTAATTATAAAAAATACAATGCTATATATTTTTTATTTGAAATACTGTATGTAGATATGTATACCGTGTACTGCTTATGATAAAATCGCTAGTACGTAGTTTATTATATTTTAAAAAATTAAAATACTAACTAGTTCAGCGATTTTTTATCATGGGGATTTTTCACTATTCCAAATGTATTCTGGCTTGTTTGTAAAACTGTATCGAAACCGGGTTTTTTGAGTAAATAACATCTGATTACATTAAATAATTAATCGTGAAATATGGGAAATATTATACAATCAATAAACAGATTGCATATGCAAGATATCAACTAATTATTGAACGAATAAGTTAAAATATGAGATTTTCGTAAATAATGCTTTTTTCCTTGCTTACAAATTTATTATCGATACACTTTCATTACGCGAATGGAAACTTTGGTTAATTTAACAACATTTTCCAACTAGTATAAAAATTTATGGGATTGCTATCAACTAATGTTTTTTCGGTAATTGCTTATCTAAATCAAATCTTTATTTGTAAAAATGATTCTTGAGAAAAAATTTTTACACTCATACTTTTAAATAATAATGTGAAGTCAAGTCGTGCTTTGATACTAATGAAAGTGAAATAAATTTAGGCTTAAATTAAAACATATAGTGTGTAATCTAGAAGTAACTTATCTGATCAATATTGAGATTATAATATTAATCTTACGTGTTATATTACATTCATATACAGATGATAGAAAATTTCCGGATCAGATTATGAATCGGAATTTATAATGTTTCGTACAGCATAAATTTTTGCCTAGCTTCAAAAGATTGAAATCCATAACTTTCGTTTTTTAAAAACATGATAATTTTTAACACATGTTTTATTGAACGCATTTACAGCAGAGCACAAGTTTCACCCAATGAACTCAGCGATATGGTGGTATGTCGTGCGGTAGGTGTTTTTAGAAAACAATTTACGTAAAAATCTGCAATAATCATAAATATAAAATTAAAGTTATCGATGCTGATATCCAAACACTGATCGTGATCGGAAGAATAATGATAGAAGAGTGAAATGACCAATAAGAGTAAAGAGCACCCATTCATTAACATTTTCCTTTGCGCAATCTCCTTGCACCTTGCTAAATCTCATCCTCATTCAAGAATCCGTGTCCTCTGCCTCTGATTCAAAAGCCTCCTTCGTCTTAGAATTCTCGGTTTCTACCACACTCGAAACCATTGACTTAAATATTTCCTTGATCTCCTCTCTTCTCTCCAATCCATCATGATATTCTTTGATCAACTTTGTCCTCAGGATTTTCCATGCCCTTTCGGTGAAAGTGGTTGTCCATCGATAAGCCTTTTTGAGTGATACGCAGCCTTCAAGTATTTCCCTCTCGTACATCAGATTTCCTTCATCATCTCGTTCATTCAGCATTAGTGAAATCTTTTCATTGATATCTTTCGCCCTTACGCTTTTAGTATGCTGTCGTGAATCCACATCTTCACCTATTCGCTTGATATATTCATTGCTAATTTTTCGAACGCGTTTCCTTTGCTCTTCAACCCAAGACTCACGATCTTCCTCAGGTACCTTTTTGTATTCATCATGTTTTCTGAGGACTTGTTCGACCCAACGAAACGGTCCAGCCGCATCAACGATGGTGTCCCAAGTTTTCCAACTTTCGGATGGGACACAATCGAGAATTATCCAAGGGACCTCACCGTTTACAGCCATATAGTTACAACTATCATTAATTCATTTAATAATACTGATAGGGGAGGCATATGTGAACGAACGGTAAACTCAATAACAATCTCACTTACTTTTTATACTGCGACGAGAAGCAATCCTTGCATGCTCTGACCTGAGAATCCCATAAGATCTTTGAGTTTTTTCTCTCTCCGCAAAATTGACAAATCTTGTCCAACAAGAAAACCATGTATTGTCTCTCGTTCATTCCGTCAGGCGGAGGTAATTTACGATATGGCATAAAGGTCAACCTTGATTCACGCCAGATTTGTTGAATCGTTCGAGAGTCACCACGACAAAGGTCATTGTAAAACATTTTGCAAACTTTGGTGAGGGAGAGTAAGTCGGCTGGAGAAAGGTTCTTGCAGATCTGAAGGAAGATTTCTGGCGGAACTTGACACAGTGGGGATGGTGATGTTCGAGTTGGTGGGTTAGATAGTGTTGGTCTGATTGATTTCGATCTTTTGGACTGACGATGGTCCCCTTTAAACTAAAAAGAAAAAAAAATTTTCCAATTTTTTAGGTTTTCATGGTTTACACCAGGTCGGGAAGAGGCAGGCTAACCTTTGTTCTCATTTTTAAAGCGAGGGTAAGGTTTCGGGCACGGTGACACTGAACCAGGAGGTTTCGTTATGAAGTCGGCTTTGGATGCTTGGATGTTTGTGAAAACTAGTTGTTTCGTTGTCTTGTATTGGAAAAAAAAAAAAAATACGGATGGGGAAACAAGAAATTGATAAACAATTCGCAAAAAGCGTATATATAATAAAAAATTCATCAATGATAGATCATAACCTTTGTTTTATCTTCCTTTGTAATTATTTTTGACTATGTTGTATCTGTCGCCGTAATCACTTTTTGTCATGTTATATCGTCGAAATCTCTGCTTTCGTTTGTGACGACGGTATTAATCATTTTTCTTATCACCACCATCCGCTTCTGCATCATTGTTTTGGAGAACTCAGATTAAGCCGGTAAATTTTTTGTCCGACCAAGTGAAGAATACCAATAAGGTCTTCTCGGAGGTGTTCTTGCTAGCATCAAATTTGGACTCTGAAGGTTAGTGTTCTTTGGAAAGAACTCATTTCATTTAAATGCTACATGACGAGCCAGCTTTCGGAAGGATGAACGTGACCAATTTCTGTGTCGTCGAATTACATTCCGATCTAGCATTGACTATCAGGTTTTCGGAATCCAGGTTAATGTTACATTTTTTTATTGAATTTTATGGACGTCCCACCACCAAGCTTACTAATCAAGGTTATTCAAATTGCTTCGTACGTGTAACAATTAAAGTTTATTTTATTAATTGTTGAAATTATGCCCGCGATTATTTAATACGTAACTCGTTTGGCTTCCTAATATAAACATAATATCTCTTTAATATAAACTTAACATAGAGAAAGTATCACGAGTTTAAATTCGTGGATGCAATTCATCTCCTGTTGATGTACTCCAAGTTCTAACACGAATCTGGATCCAGCACGCGGTGCCATACTCTTTTGTCTATTTAATTGATTCCAAAATTCCTGAACGATCTGTAATTGATACGATCTATTTTAATATTTTAAACTGTATGATGTACAAAAACGCCTAATACTGTAGTGTTTTAATTTTAAATTTTTTTTTTTTTTTTTATTGGGTCCTTACCCTTGTTTTTTTTTTTTTTTACGTGATTTTTTTCATATCATAATTTATTTGAGTGTAAAACGTGAGTCGGTAACTCAACTGCAAATTACAGTACGGTATTAAAAAAAAAAAAAAAATTTTTTTCCGCG